AAGGGAAGAATTCCCAAAAAAAAAAAAAAAAAAAAAAAGTATAACCTATCTTTTCGGTTAGATAAAGCCACAATGAGGGTGCGTTGTATTCTGTAGATGACAGTTAATAAGAGACTGCGACGCAGCGGGCAAATGACGACGAACGACGTAGTAACGATGTTACGTGAGCTCGATGAGCGAAATTCGACCGGCGTGAAACACTCCTCACACCGGAGTCTTTACCTTCCCCCCTCAACACCCCACCCTCCCCGGTTAGGTGTGAGGGAGTCCGCGCACGGGAGTGTCGGGACTCCGTGACATTTCTGACTCGTTTCTCCTTTCTACGTGTGCGTTGGGAAGGAGGCAAACCGACGTTTCATATCGTCAGGCCCTCGACCGACGGTTCATACCGTTGGGGCCTTGATTTTTTGTATTTTTTTTTTAAATGTATTTGAATTTCGAAATATGAAATGTAACGGAGGAAATCCAGCGGCCTAGCTCAGTTGGTTAAGCATGCAAGTGGCATTCAGGAGGTTGTGGGTTGAAGCCCCATGGCCGCCTGCGGCGTACTTAGTGCCAACGGACTGTGATAGTCCTCTGGATACCCCTGATCGGTATTTGTGGGGTCTATGACCAACACGGGTGTGGGTGTGAGTGTGAGCGCGAGTGGGTTGTGTGTGCGAGAGTGTTAGCCATAGCCTCTGCTGCTACTCGACTCGATGAGGGGTGGGGGACGATGAGAAAGGGAGCGCGAGTGGGTTGTGTGTGGTGCGTGGGAGAGTGTTGGCCATAGTCTCTGCTGCTACTCGACTCGATGAGGGGTGGGGGAGGATGAGAAAGGGAGGCGCAGCTACTGGCAAACGCAAAATGCTCGGTCTTTGCGTTAGCCCGGCGGCCCCACTCCATCTCTGACTACAGCTGTTTGGGGGCTGTGGGAGCGGGGGGGCAACATGAATTACCTCGTTTGCGAGGCCCTATGCTTGCAGGGGTCCCCTCTATATAGTCTTTCTTTTTTTTTTTTCTTTTTTTTTTCAGGAGTAGGAGGAGGAAGGTAGTGAAAGGCGAAAAAGAATTTGAGAGAAGAACATAGTGTAGTTTATAAAAAAAAAAAAGAAATGTAACGGAGGAAGAGTCTGAAAAACTGATAGGCACGTGGGAAACAGAGAGACGCAAAAAGGGGTTACGCCACTCTGGAAATGCGAAAAAAAGACAAAAATGTGGCGCCGGGTGCATCTGGCCATGTTGTAGGGGGAAGTTCATTCTTATTTTGCACATTGAGAGAGTGGTGTGGCGATGCCCTGTGTCCCACACGCATTGTCAAACCACACACCCACTCACAGATGTAGGAGAAAGACAAGAAACGAAATACGACTTCTCAAAACCAACACCTGAGAAAAGGTATATTGCTTGTTTTGTTGGGCGAGGGGAATGCCAGTCGTCGTCATCTTCCGAGGGCCAAGTCCCACGAGCAACGTTAGGTTTCTTCAACGCCTGAATCTGGACATGTTTGTGGAGACGTGCGGCTGAGGAAACTCAACGCCATTTCTGCACGTCTCCACAAACACCACCGAATTCAGGCGTTGAGGAAGCTCTGCGCTGCTAGTGGGACTCTGCTCCTGGGAACTTGGGCTATCCATCTATCGGCGAGGCTGAGGTGTTGAAGCTATGACCAGGTCACGCATTTACGGTTTTCTTTTATAAAGTCCTATGTTCGGGGTTTCTAACACTTTCTTTCATATTGTTTCTGCACATCTATCTTCGTCTTTTTTTTTTTTTTTTTTTTGGGGGGGGGAAAGGGGGAAAGGTTCTATCTTCGCTTTCTTACTGTCTTTTTTTTTTTGGGTTCTTACTGTCTTTCCGTCTTTTCTTGGGGCACCTTTTTTTCTCGCGAAGTTGTGGGATTGTGTTTTGTCGTTGGTGGCACTGCTCCAGATAACTCAAAAGAAGGATATATATATATATATACTGATGAGTCGGTGAAACTCCGACGAAACAGTTTGTCACAGCCCCTCGTTTGTTGTCCTCTTCTCTCTCTCTGCCTACGGTTTACCGGGCAGTTCTGTTTGTGACGATATATATATATACAGGGTTACCAGCCCGTACGTACGGAGGCCCCCGGACGGACGTCCGAACGTTCCGGCGTTCGGGGTCCCGTACGGGGTCCGAACCCGACGGCGTTCGGCCCCCGCCAAAAAATATTTGGGGGCCTAAAAATATATATATTTTTTTGAAGTTTTTTTTACGAGTTCTCTATGACGTGAGGTATATGCCTATAAATTTTCAAGTCATTTGGCTTAGCCAAATAAGAATTAAAAATCGCCAAAAATGGCGGTGTCAAAACGTGCTCGCCCACGTTTTTTTTCACTTTTTACTTTTTGTTTTCACTTTAGTTCGGGGTCTAAACAATTTTATTATTTTTTGAAACTTTTTTAGTGGGTGTTGTATTATGTGAAGTACACATTTGTTAATTTTCAGGGCATTTGGCTATTCCAAAAAAAAATGAAAAATCGCCAAAGATGGCCGTGTCGAAAACATGCTCGTGCACTCACTAAATTTAATTCTCTTTTTATTTTTATTTATTTTTATTATTATGATTTGTTCTGTGTATTTTATTTTTATTTCAAATTTGGTAAGGAATTCGGACGTAACGCTCAGGCAAATCTTGCTTAATTTATTTTTCTCCATACCATATCTTTTTTTTAGAGTTTTTTGATGAACTTTTTTTTTTTTTTTTTTTTTTTTGGGGTGCGCATTCGGACGCATCCCCAAGGGTCCCCATACGTTCGGGCGTTCGGCCCGTCCCGAACGCCGGTTACCCTGTATATATATTTACCCTGTATATATATTTACCCTGTTCGGGTTCGGGCGTTCGGCCCGTCCCGAACGCCGGTTACCCTGTATCGCACGCGCCGATTGGTGGCGCCGTGCGCAGCCTTCCCGGAGCTACCGCCGGTAGGCGGGGAACGCCGGACACGTCAAGCGGGGCAGCTGTTGCTTCTCCGTCGTCGTATTTTGGCGGGAGACGTGTGCGGCGGCGGAGGAGAGGAGTTTTCAGTTTTCAATCGTCTTCTCTTTTTGCGCTGGGCGCAACGGCCATCTATGCGCACAGAATTCCCAGCCGGGAGTCTTGCCGCCCAGCGACGTCCACCTCGCACCCGACGCCGCTCCCGCCCTTTCGCCGCCGTCGAAAAGCCCAGCTGCGCCCGATAGAGCGGCGGGTCGCGCACAAGCACGGATCTGGAACTCGGCTGGGGCGGCCTCCTCCGCGACCAACGACAAGTCGCCGTCTTCGCAAAGTAGTCATGCGATTGCGATCGCCACGAGGAAGGCGCCGGTGGCAGGAAATTGCTCAGCAAATGATTCGGCTTCGGCGGGGAATGAGCTCGCGCAAGTTTGCCCAGCAGCAGGTCGCCCTGTGACTCGGAGGATGCTGGCGGGCCTCGTTGGCGCGGTCGTGCTGCCAAGCTTGGTGCAACACGTTTTCAAATCGCCATTTACAAACAATTCTGCGGCTTATGCTGCAGAGATCTTCCAGCTGGCCTCCTTTGAGAGAAGCCAAGTGCGGCGAGAGCGGGGCGCTCTCCGTGCCGCTGCTGACCTTCGTACGGACTTGAGCAGAGAAACACCTGCAACGGCTCCAGAAGAAGGAGGAGATGGAGGAGAAGAAGGAGACGGAGAAGAAGGAGGAGGAGGAGAAGGAGGAGAAGGAGGAGAAGGAGGAGGTGCAGCAGTCGCCGAAACGCAAACGCCGGCGCCAACTGCTTCTCCTATCTCGGAAACAGAGGACATGAATACCATCACACCTGTACAATCGGAGGGGACGTCAGGAGTTGTTGTGGAGAACATAAATGCAGCCAAAGACAAATCAGAAGCAGCAGCAGCAGCAGGAGAAGGGGAAAAGGCACGGGGCGAGGAAGGAGGAGGAGCTGTGCAGGCAATTTTATCTCCTTCGCCGAACAGCGAGAAGGTAAAGGGAGATGAGGAGTCATCGGGCATCAAGAGCTCCCTTCTCTTGACCGCTCTGGGAGCTACGACCGCAGCCGCTCTCGGAGCAGCATGGTTCACCCCCCGATTACCGAAGTCGGGGTCTGATGTGGAGGGGTTGTCCAACCAAGAAATGGCGGGAAACGCTGCCGTGGAGGACACGAGCGCGAAGACGCCGGCCATTCAGAATCAGTCCAACGAGGAGGCGACTTGAAGACCTGCACCTATCGAGGATCAACTTCTCAAGTTGCTTTTTCTCTCTGTGTGGAGGAAGGAAGAGATTGCCAGGATGGCTGACAGCCAAATCGCTGCCTTTGCTCCGATCAGCATTGCGCTGAGGTCTGCAAACTGCAGGTTTGAAACTCAGCAAGGACTCTGGGAGAATGAGCAGCCAGCATCTTAACCTTGCAACCATTGTTGACCTCTGCAGCGGCCACCGTGACTGAGCGGAAACTTGGTTGAGAAAGAACTGGCAGAGACGTATCAGCCAAGGAGATGAAGCTTCATGAAGGTGCCGAAGTTGCAGAGAAAACTCGATGAAGGAGAGCCCAGGGAGCCAGGTAGACATAGATTCTATCATTCTGAAGTTGAATCATCTGGCTGGATCGAGATTTGCATTCCGAGAAGCACGGCCAGCAGGTCAAGTAACTTTGACAGGATAAGGCATCGATCAGCTTAGCCTGTAGTACTCTCTCTCTCTCTCTCTCTCTCTCTCTCTCTCTCTCTCTCTCTCTCTCTCTCTCTCTCTCTCTCTCTCTCT